TATTCACACTTGTGAAGAGGTGTGAAAATGTTGTTCACACTCTGAAACCTTGGTCACACCTTCATGGGTGTGTGAGATTGTGAAAGATGTGAGTCACACCGTATTCACACTTGTGAAGAGGTGTGATTCACAGCTTTCACACCCTGAAACCTTGGTCACTCCTTCTCAGGCGTGGTGAGATTGTGAAAGAGGTGATTCACACCGTATTCACACTTGTGAAGAGGTGTGAAAATGTTGTTCACACTCTGAAACCTTGGTCACACCTTCATGGGTGTGTGAGATTGTGAAAGATGTGAGTCACACCGTATTCACACTTGTGAAGAGCTGTGATTCACAGCTTTCACACCCTGAAACCTTGGTCACTCCTTCTCAGGCGTGGTGAGATTGTGAAAGAGGTGATTCACACCCTATTCACACTTGTGAAGAGGTGTGAAAATGTTATTCACACCTCTTAACCTTGGTCACTCCTTCATGGGTGTGTGAAATCGTGAAAGATGTGATTCACACCGTATTCACACTTGTGAAGAGGTGTGAAAATGTCATTCACACCTTCATAGGCGTGGTGAGATTGTGAAAGATGTGATTCACACCCTATTCACACTTGTGAAGAGGTGTGAAAATGTTATTCACACCTCTTAACCGTGGTCACTCCTTCATGGGTGTGTGAAATCGTGAAAGATGGTGATTCACACCGTATTCACACTTGTGAAGAGGTGTGAAAATGTTATTCACACCTTTTAACCGTGGTCACACCTTCATAGGCGTGGTGAGATTGTGAAAGATGTGATTCACACCCTATTCACACTTGTGAAGAGGTGTGAAAATCTTATTAACACTTTGCATTATTCAGGATATTCAGGAAAGTCTCATCTCACAGACGAGCTGAAAGTGTGAATAGTGTGAATCACACTATTCACACTTTCACAGATGGGTGAAAGCTGTGATTCCAGTTCTGAACCCTTGAACAAAGCTTCACGGGTGCAATGCCAGTGTGAAACTTTGTAATCACACTCCATCCACTTTGGTGAAGCGGTGTGCCAGGTGTGAATTTTATTTTCAAATCCTTAAATGAGATTTTCACAGGTGTAAGGTCAGTGTGAAAAGTGGGAAATATTTCATTTTGAATCGGAACACATCCACCACTAAAGTGGATTGAAAAAGGAATGTGGAAGTTTTCTAAACATCTGTGACCTCTAGACTAATCAAACTCATCGTCATCATGCTCAAGTATTTCATGATAAACATCATCATAAACATCATCTTCCCCATTTTCTTCCTCTTCACCCACAATTGTCGGGACACGTACCATTGTTTCCCACTCTGCAAGACACTTTTTTACCATTGATCTCCACTTTTCTTGTAATTCATCATCACTGCCTGTTTCACACACATTGTAAGGTTCCGATTGGTGCAGCAAGCTGATGATGGCGCCATTCCAGCTTAACCACATCCGCCAAGCTTCCCGCGATAAAGTACAAGCAATTGCCAGCATCATATATTTACTTGCCCATGTTGGGATGATGTCTACAATGAACACAAATTGAGGTATGTTACCAAACAATCTTTGACAAAACATATCAACTCACCATTGGTGTTATTCTGATGTAGGTTGTCAATCTTGCCTTGATACTGAACTGCCCAGTTCAGCATTTGTCTGGCCTCTTTTGCAATACGGCGAAGCTCCTCCGTACACCGACATACTGTGATGTAAGCTTCCATCCCTTCCTGGGTTGCTTCGTCAACGGCCCAAGGTTCAGTCGAGTGAATGATGCTACCAAAGTTGAGAAACGGGTGGCGTAAATCCATTGCTTCAACCTCTTAAAGAGTAGGGGTGGCCAGTGATGGGTCAGGTGCAAACTGCTCATTGTATTGCTTGGCAAGTCTGATATATGTAGCATGCTTTTGTCGTAGCTTAGTATTCTTCAGTAGTCGCAAAGTATTCATCTTTTTTTGAACATTAGTACCTATCACCAGTGAACATGTCAATGCAAGAATATGTTGAGACAAGTGAAACAATGACCGGATTTACCTCGAGCGTGACTGGCTCTCCTTCTATGCTCAATAACTCCCACCTTTGCACCAAGTAGCTTTCCTTTTGCAACACGGATTTTAACTAGAGGTTTTGCTCGAGCATCTGAGGATAGAATATTTTAGTCAGTACGGCGGCGTTAGTCATGGGTACCTTACAGCGCTCAACATTGGAAGCACCTGATGTACCAGTGAGTTCACATAACTCGGCATCTCCAAGCTTCTCAGTAACACACTCAATGGCTTTTTCAAGCAACACCAAGGTATTAGGACCACCGCTAGCATGTCTATGCTTTCGACGGCGTCGCCTAGACCGTTTATTCTTGTCCATGGTTTCCAGCTTGTCCCTGATGGGAAAATTTCAATCTTAATCAGTTTCTCTGCCCTCCCTGCCGTTCAGCGCAGATGCGAACTTACTGAGCAGCCACTAGCTGCTCCTCCAAATCAACGAGTTCAGCCACATGTTCCAAGTAATCGGCGCTGCTTTGGCTGATGGTTTGACTTTGTATTGCCTTCTTACGCTCGCATTGATTCTTGAAGTACTCTTCAGTATGACCATGCTGGCGGTCAAGCTGCCTCAATATACATCTTGCTGCCAAAAGTTTTTTCTGAGTCTGCTGCAGATGTTTCAGGCTGCGCGCAGCTATTGTTTCAAAGGAAGTTTTATTATCAGGAGTTGCCTAGTTGCCTGGATAGAGAGGTTGGACTTCTTACCAGAGTTATGTCTTCCTCGTTCATTCCGGTGCATAGCTCAGAAGTTCAAAGCTGTCAGGCGATGCTGTTTTGTTGAGTAACGCAGTGGCCTAACCAAAGGTTCAAAATCTGACCAAATTCGTTCCATTCCCTCGCCATCGGAGAGACCCCAGCCATTGTTGAGCCGTGGGTTATAATCAAGTTGACATGCCCACTCGTGCACAAATGAGTGGAACAAACTGGTTCCAAACTTGAGCCGGTCTTTTTCCCGTTCTTGTGGAAAGTAATTATGCTGGTGCAAAGGATTTCAAATAAATCAATGAAGGGTACAATATCCATAAGATATACGCCATACCTTCACTATGCTCTTTTGTAAAGTGCAGCCAATATCATATAGAAGTCCAAGGGTCTGATGTAGTTCTCCGTCTCTGTCTTCCCTGGCCTCGGTGGCTTTAAGGAGCCAATTCAATAAAGTAAGTAGAAAAATGTTTCTAGCAAGCATTTTACACACTATCAGTACAAACAGATCACACTGCAGCAGAGGATAAGGTAACCCACTTTTCACCACTTTGAATAATGCTAATGAAACGAAGACATTGATCATGTCGACACCCCATTCCCATTAACCCTGTTTCGTCACAACCTTTCCAGTGAGACTTGCCTCGCACATCATCAGTGGCTGTATGCCGCGCCGCACAGGGATCCTATCAACAGAAATTGTGGTTGAAAGAGCTATATCATGAAGGTATCGATATGAATCATAAAAATCTCACTAACTACCTCGGCCTCATGCCATGGCACCTTGGCTTTAGCATTATTTGCTTGCCTACCGCGACAGGTACGACCTGTTTGCGACCATTCGTTTTGGAGGGTTTCCATTTCCTTGGGAGGTAAGAACAGAGATGGTGTGACGATTTCACCTTTTTCAATACTAGCCGCCAAGTGTCTACGGTGCTGGAAGTTACCATCAATACAAACAATGTGATCCGGTTCCCCTGTCGGAAGAGGCCCCACGCCTGGCCCAAAACACTGGGGACAAATTCCTGCTAGCTTGTCCTGAACTGTCAGATGGAGGCTCTTGTTGACGGCTTCTTCAGTCATGACGATCATTTCTCGATACGCATCAATGGCTGACGAGAGTGGCTGATGCCATTCACGGCACTAAAAGAATAATTTCAACATCAGAACATGAATACCCAAATAAATAATGGATGTACATTTGTTCCTCCACCTCTTTTTAGGAATAAAGGATTCCCTTCATCCAGAAATTCATTAAGGGCCTCCGAAAATGGATGGAAACGCAGGCTGCAGTATTTCCACACTATGTGGAAAAATCGCAAAAGTCGAATGGTAACAACTGACTGAGGCCTGACCGGCTTACCTCCAATATAACCGGCTTGAATCAGGCGCACTTGATCATTAGGGGAACATGGACACATCTTCAACTTTATCTGTTTACGAACTGGATTAGGAAACCATTAGTAGTAATCATATAGCTAGCTCCTTTACCTCAATTGAACTTACATGTAAGATCAAGCACATCAAAAGTGCGAATGGTACCTGTACAGTTACACGGTTCCTTCCAGTCCTTAAATCGAGTCTCGACATTGGACCAGTTATTGGTTCTCTGCTGACAGGCCAAGAAGACTGGAAACATGGCCGGATATCGATTGCGCCAATCCTCTTCCTCCCGTTGGCGCCGTCCTGCATGAAATCCTTCGTTAAGGCCAAAAGCAAACACTTCACCAGTGAGATTGGCATCATGAGGTGGAGGACTGGGCGGTAATTGTCCAAGTTGGTCTGGTTCCTCGTCTCTATCACCCTCGTCGAAAGCTGGGAGTTCAGCCATTGGAATGATGATATCGCCTGAACCACCTGGCACGAGTGGGTCGGCGCAATCGTATTGTTCGGCAGCGTTTGAAACAGCTTGACCAACTGTTATTTCCGCGTGGACACGGCTACGGCGTTTCATGGCAAGGCACCGAGCATCAAGCTTGTTCTGAGGTTTTCGCTTGAGGTTTTCAGGCTTCTTGAGTTTGACTTTCTTCTGGTTGGTCATATTTGAATAATATAAGACAATGTAAGATTTGATGATTACTAATGGTTTCCAACCTGATGCACTACACCATGTACAAAGGAGTCTTGACAAATTGGCAAATGGAAAACTGTCACTTACCATTTTGGGGTTGTTCAGATATCAGCTTGTGAAAGCAGCGGTGATTAATTTCAAAAACAATTTTTTGGGGCTTCCTTTTCAGCGGTGAAGTTTCATTAGGGCTATTGTGGCACTAATGTACTGGTGATGCTTCCGTCATCCCAGGAACATTCACAGTGCTGTCATCCCTGGGATAAACAAAGTGCTGTCACCCCTAGGTTCTCAATGATAACCATCACCAGAGTTATTCATTTGAAACAATAGACAATTCATATTGGTGATCTGTCCACATCTGTCACCCCCTGGGATTCATACAGGGCTGTCCAACCAAGTTTAATCATGGTTGGTTGGTCCCCTTGATTTCAACTGTCTGTCAAAATATAAGTTTCAGAGTACCTTTTGGGTCGGTGCTTCCAATCACCTTCTATCTTGGCACAGAAACTTAGTTGGGCGGGTTTTGTGACCTAATTAGGGATGGATGCTGTCAAACACAGTACAAGTATGGGCTTAAAAAAAACCTTACTTTGACTCACCCTCTTTCCACCACTCAGTTTAATGCTGATCAACAATCTGAGGATGAGCCAGGGTAAGAGAACATTGTTCAAGTGTTTTCATTCTTGGTTTATCACATAGCATTGTATTACTTAAAATGATTGCCACAGAAGCGCCACCAATGGTAGGTTGTGAATCATACAACCACCATAGTACCCCATAAATAGACTCCAAGGGTGAAGGTGGTTGATGGTGGAACAAACATCAATGAACAAACTATGCCATAACCAACTGTGTGTGTGTGGTGGTTTTGGTATCTTCAAAGAGACCTAAACTGCAACTATAACTCCCTGGTGTAAAGACTTATGTACATTCATCCTCAATGTGGGCCTATTGTGTGAACACATGCAGCAACCAAGTCAAGGAGTGGTGTGACACTTCATGAGTGGGATGCTGCATGTGTTCACACAATAGTCCTCCCAAAATGATTTGGCACACTCAGACATGCTATAACATTCCAGTGTTAAAATTTATGTCCAAAAGATCCTCAATGACTGACTATATGCAACATTATGCAACAACCAAGTCATGGAGGGGTTGAGTGTGATACAAACCTTGGTTGAAGGTTTGTATCACACTCAATAGTGCTCCCAAAATCATTTGGAACACTCAGATCAGCCATAAGTCCAGGGCGTAAAAAGTTATGGTAGAAATATGCTTAATTACGGGCCTCTTTGGCTACATGTACCAAAACACACCACATCCAAGTCATGGAGGGTTGAGTGTGATACAAACCTTGGTTGAAGGTTTGTATCACACTCAATAGTGCTCCCAAAATCATTTGGAACACTCAGATCAGCCATAAGTCCAGGGCATAAAAAGTTATGGTAGAAATATGCTTAATTACGGGCCTCTTTGGCTACATGTACCAAAGCACACAACATCCAAGTCATGGAGGATGGAGTCACTTCATGACTTGGTTGCTGGTTTGTATCACACTGAACAGTGCTTCCAAAATCATTTGGAACACTCACATCAGCCATAAGTCAAGGGCGTAAAAAGTTATGATAGAAATATGCTTAATTACGGGCCTCTTTGGCTACATGTACCAAAACACACAACATCCAAGTCATGGAGGATGGAGTCACTTCATGACTTGGTTGCTGGTTTGTATCACACTGAACAGTGCTTCCAAAATCATTTGGAACACTCACATCAGCCATAAGTCAAGGGCGTAAAAAGGTAGGGGGCATCTTGGGCTCTATGTACCCAAACAAGCAAGCAACATACAAGTCATGGAGGGTGGTGTCACTTCCAGACCAGGAAGATATTTGGTCCTACACCCAACAAGGATCCAAAAAAGATATTCAAAGGCTGTTGGAACACTCCCTCAGCCTTCAACCCCAGAAGCCTGAATGTATATGATCAATCCAATAGGGGCAGTCTTAATATATTCAACACTAGGTGAGTGTTGAAATATATTGTGTAACCATCAGACACAACAATGCCAACACATAGCAACCAACCTGCACACAGATGCTATGGCACCATAGCATCTTTCAAGGGGGACAGATGCTATGAGACAATAACCCAAAAACCAACCCCCACCACTGTGATTCCTCAGTAGTAATTTTTTACTACCAACCTTAAGCAAAGTGGTTGTTGAATTGGTGTGTAATATATATGTCCACATATATATATTTGTCAATTATTCCTATGCTCATTATTTTATCAAGGAGTGGACCCAGTATTCTATTTGCGTGGCAAGACATAGTGAACAACCTAGGTCACTATGTAATTCACTCACATACTGACCAACGTATGCCAAGAACATATGTGTGCTAAACCTAACCCTATTAACGTAACATACACTTAACTCAGGACAGTTAGGTTTTCCAAAAAATGTTCCACCCAAACTTCAGGTAACCCACGAGTCACCTGACCTGGTGTTTTGAATTCAGCCAGTGCACTTCCAACCTCGAATCCAACTCCGATCTTCGAAAAGTCCAAGATCGACCACAAGTTTGAAGGATTTGTCCTACCCCTTACTACCTTCCATTACATTCCTGAAGTCGCTGCTTGACCTGTCTATTGTCGGACTCTGAGCTACGAATAGGCAGGTGATACGGCATTCAGTGTGTGGAATTGGCGGCTGGTACTGGTAATCAACTTTCAAACATCGAAACAATCAGGACGATACAAATCATACAAACGTGATCGATCGCAGGCTCTTGTTTGTAATCGCTTGGCTGGCAAGGTCAGTGAATTGATCTTCTTTTTTTAAGTGTTCTCAAAACAACCTACTTACAGTGGACACCGTCTCGTAATTCCAGATTCACCTCCAAACCACCGGACTTACGGCTTCTGTGCGGCGTTCTATTGCCGGGCTCTGCGCTACTACAAATACA